GTCCATAGTGCAAGCATACTAGCCTACTTACCAGTGCCAATATATCACAGAATTTAAGGTTAGCTTTTTGTCACTGGTGTATTAGATGATTCCGTTGGGGGGAGGGGGGATTTTGAATAAGTGTTGACATATATGCAGAAATATACGGTAATTAAAAATTCTTTGGTTTTTGACAATAAAACCTAGTTTTTATTAAATTTGGGAGATTTTTTCATCATTATGCACATTTTTTTAGCGAATCTTGTGAGGTACCTAAGTGGGTTATTAACTATTTTTTTTATGCAAGCTTTTCTTTCCGTGATGCCCTTTTGTCAAATCGTGTCAGTTTTCCCATATGTCCTGCTGAAGCTGTAACTTATACACAGCTGTAATTGTTAATGCATTTAACACTTATTCGTATCGATTTTTTGCCACAACAAAATTGATAATTTTATTTAATTAAATTCATTTGTTACCTCCCTTGGAATGTCGAAGAATTGCCATCTTCGAAATTAATTTGTTAAATTAAAAACTACAAAACAAAAAACAAACACATTCATTATTTTTTTCAAAAGATTTAGAAAGAAATTTTGATCAAACTATAAAGTTTTGGCGTATCCTTTCTCAAACAAAAATAATAAAAGTCAACCATTAAAAATTAGTCATGTGGCCAGCATCGATGAACAGAGTTTAAAAAGGAAGGCTTTAAAATTTTATACACGTTTTTGGTTATGCAAAAAAAAAAAAAAAAAAAAAAAAAAAAAAAAAATCTGATTTAAATTTGAAGAGATCAAATTAACAGTGAGTAAAATAACAATAATTTAATATCAATTAGAAAGAGAATATTTTTTTAATGTGCAATCCTTTTTTAAATATAGGAAAAAATTTTAACAAGTTTTACTTGTGATTTGAAAACTTACGTTAGTATCCAACATTAGTGTTTTGTTTTTATATGGATATTTAAAAAAGAACGAAGCTGTAGCATTCAAAAATAACGGAGAGAAACACCAAAAACAAATAAAAGGCTTTTATAAACGAACTGGTGTAAATAAATGACATCATTTAACAGCAAAACAAACAGGGTGTCATCAAAGATTTGAAAACAACTTATTACAAACAATATCACACCAATAACATTTATCATCTTAAAAGTTAAAAAATAAAAGTGGGATTCACATAATCGTCAGAATGTCTTGAGCTTCTAATTTAAAACTTTATTCGAAGTACAATAAAATAGAACAGACTTGTTTGGTTATCGTTTTATTGACGATAAAAATGCGAATTTATTTTCCCAAGACTAAAGAAATTTAATTTAAGAGATATGATATTATTAAAAATTATTTTCCACCGTCGCATGGGGAGGGGGGGGGTTATAATTTTATTTATTACAAAGAAATGCAGACAAGAAGTTTGCAAAATTAACAACAGCGAAAAGTCGCTTTTGAAAACGAAACTATTTTTGATAAGTCGCAAAACGAAATGAAATTTATTCTTCTTTCTCTTCATTCTTAATAATTATGAACAAAATTCCAATGGATAGAATTTCGAAAATGACTGTTCTAAAAATATATATTTTGAGGAGATATGAAAACTGACCGATTTCAATGTAACAATAATAATAAAAATAAAATTCATTATTTATTAAGCAAGCTTCTTACTACTATTGATTAAGCTAAAAAGAGACAAAAGAAAATTCGAAAACAATTTTATACTTTTTTTACACTCCAGAGTCCAGTTTTTCTCATCAGAAAATACGATGTAATACTAAAACCGGCGATTGAATCACTAATCAGGAATGTATATTAAAAAGAAAATACAAAGAACAACAAGGTAGGGTCGAGAGGACACACGAAACGGTCACATGAGAAAGAAGATCTACAAACTGGGTGGGACAACATAAATAACCACGAAATAAATGTGTACATTCCAAATTAAAAAGACTTAGAGGATTTTTTTTTTATCTTTGTTTAACATTACAATAAGTACGTCTAAATGTAAAAATGTTGACAGCATCAATTAATCAATAACCTTTCCGATCGATCAAACACATGTACTTTGGAAAGTACGGAAAATGTGCTTTTTAACACCACGCCGATCTAATTTCTAAAAAAATTAAATATTTTACCCCAATTTCTCGGAAAATAAAACTATCAATATGTTAAAAAAAAAAAAAGACTTTAAAAATTAATATTGTTAATTGTCTTCTTATCAAATTATGAATAAAAATATGAATTCAACAATATTCGATTTTTTTTTCTCTGATTACGATAACAACGTTTAAAAATAGAGGTACACTTTTTTATTTTTAAATTTGGGTATTAATTAAATTAACCATATTTTTTAGTGAACCACCTTTTTTCGGTTATTATTTATTTTTAAAGAACAGAAATAAACCAAAGAGACCTGTTTGAACAATGCGCTGTCATCATCAATGAATGAACTTGTTTTTTTTGTCAAATCAAAGAATAGCAGCTATAAAATATGTCTATTCTTTTTTTTCTCGAAATAAGATCAATATTCTTATGTTTTTTTTTATTTCAATACGGAGCAAATTTTAACAATCTCTCAGGAAAAAATTAAGAATTTTAATGAAAAACGAAAATATCACTTTGTGTGTACTACAATCGCTAAATTTACTTGTCTTGAGGAGAGAAAAAAAAATGTCCCGAGTGAAATGTGACATCACAAATAACTAAATGAAATGTATTTTCGTATTTTTAGCGAAGATTACAAGGAAATGTTTTCGTCACAGACAACTACAAATAGTTATTTCATTGTAAAATTAACAAGTATGTAATTTATTTCCCCAGAAATATAGTGAGGAGAGAAAAAAATAAACAAATGAAGTTATTCCACGTTGTAAATATCTCTAACTTCATAAAGTTAAAAACTAAAAAAAAAGTAGTGTTATTTAATAAATTTATTTTAGTTCAATTTGTTAAAAAAAAAAAAAAAAAATAAAAAATATAAACTCTTTGCAATTATGGTACAAATCAAATCTGAAATCATTGATCATTTCTTCAACACGTTCATCTTGGAACACTGCTTTCAGAAAAAATATTTTAAAAATCAGGTGTTTCGTTTTTATTCAAAATCAAAAATTAAGAGTTTTTTTTTTATCAATTTTAAAAAGTATCCAATGATTTGAGTCGTAACTTGTAACTATATATAAAAGAAGGAGGGAAGCCAAATGCTAAAAAATTACCCCAAATCAAAACTAAAGTTTTTTTTTTTACTAAATGTAATCAATCATTTTAAGCTGAAGGAATTGTTAATTAACAAAAAAGTTACATGTTGCGATGATGTCTCTTTCGATAACAAATCACTAAGAAATTCACTGGTTTATGATAAAAGAATTTTTTTTTAATTTTAGTTTTTAAAATTGCAGACACGTAAACAGAAATGTCTTTTATTGGTTTTTTAAAAATCTATACTAATTTAAATTATTTAAAATTAAAACTTTATTTAATTTGGTAGTAACTAGTACAAAATTGGACCAGCGCGTGCATGTACAATCAATGTTTTCTGTTTTGAAAATTTTTCTTCTTCACCTTTCAATTTAAATGGCATAAAATTTTTTGTTTTTATTCATTTAATTTTTTTTATAAAAAATAATATGCGCGGGTAGGTTCACTTTTTTTAGTTTTAGTACCTAATAAATATTTTTTTTTTTTTTTTTTACACTAAAAAATAAAAATGTAAATTTTACACTACAGGTTAAAAAAAATCTAGTCCTTTTTTGAAGTAGTTTTTTTTTTTTATTTTCATGAGCTTTTAAAAATAAGTGATGTTTTTATAAAAGTTGATTCACAGCTTCAGCTTTGTTTTATTAAATAAAAATTCGGTCGAAAAGTTGTAATGTAAAATAACAACATCAACAATACACATACAAAAACAAAACTAGTTCAATTGTCAAAGCTTGGACTGACTCATAAAGATCATTAAAGAATCTTCTTAACCACATTTTTTTTTTTAAATGATTTTATTTTTAATTCACAAGAAGTTCATTAATCTGTTGTAGTTAATGATAACTGTTACTAGAGATCAGGCAAAATTTCATGTCTGCTTCCTTTCGATTTTTTAAAATAAGATTTTTAAAATTGTTCAAGATTCATTCAAGCACAATGGACTAGAGAGTTACAAAAAAATAGCAAGTCAAAGTAAATTTATTTTTCAATGAAACGCATTTGGTCTGGATGCTGTTTAAGTTTATTTATTTATTTTTAAAGAAACATCTCTAGTTTCTAAACTAAAAAATAAATATCAGATAATAGCTAGGAAGAGGAAGAAAAAGTGGACGTAGATATAATTTTATGAAGTGTTGAAGTATTTATTTTGATAGCGAGTTTGTTAATGTTTTAGGAGCAGAATTTTGTGTTTCCTTTTCAGACAGAGAATTAATTAAAAAAAAACAAAACAAAAAAAACCAGACATCACAATAATTAACTTCCACCTGATGAAGAACAGCGTAACAATCGAAAAGTCATTATTATTATTAACAATTCTCTTTCGTTACATAAATTACGCTTAACATTTTTGCTAAAAAAAAAATCTAACATTTTCTGATGAAATATTTTCTGGTCCGAAGATAATCACGAAAAATTTTTAGTTCAAAGAAAATCTGTGATATTTTTTCTTTCATTTTTACGAGTTTCATTCAGTTTTTACTTCATTGGTAATTACCGTAATTCCGATCAATATTAATAAAGAATTTCTTTTTCAAGGAACAAAGATAAATTCTGTTTCTTTTCTTACAGATTGCATTAATAAACCTTATCGACAAAAAGGGGGTATCTTGTTTAATGAAAATTTATGAAACAAACAAATATTTAGTTGTAAAAAACATTCACCTGGAAACAAACTTTTTTTTTTTTTTTTTTTTAATTGTTTCGTTTCATCAAGGATCTCTTCGAAAAGAAAATCTCCAGAAATCACCGCTTAATGATAAGAATGACATAACAATTTAACACAAATAAACACCAAGGAATAAGCAGAAAATAAAAATAAATTATTTTTTTTACCCTGTGACCATCGGGCGAAGACTTCTTCTTTGACTCCATTTCCCCACAGGAGTTTCCGAGTGGACTGTAAAAGCTGAGGATCTAACTTTGTTCCGGGGACTGCCATTGGGTATATTGTGGAAGTTTAAAAGCTACTAGGTGCGAGGAAAGAAGTTTTGGGAAGAAGACGAAAAGGAATCAAGAGGGAAAAGATGCTCTAACAGGGGAAACTTTAACAGCATGCTAAAGAGAAGATGACGACTGACGCCATTTCTCAGAACAAGGCAAAACAATTGCAGAGGGAGAGACATGCAGTGCCATCTTGCGGACGTAAAGTCACGGTTATCTGCCCTTGAATTTCTCCATTCATTTCATTTTCATCAATGATTTATTTTTTTTCTCCGATGAGAACCGGGAGATGCGGTAATGTTGCTCATTGGTAAAATAATGGATAGATATTCCGTAAAAAAGGTTCTGGACGTTTAGTTTAGTTTCAGGGAGAAGAAATTCTAGGATATGTCATCTAAATGAGATACCATGTTATTTAGTTTCTGTTTAATGGATATGTGTTTGTGACCGTCAGTTTCACGCTTAGCATGAAACCGGCGGTCACATCCATTCAACTAAGTTAGTTTTTCTATCACTTATATTGAGCGTTTTTCAATAAGCACCGCACATAGAATTTATTGAATATAGATATAAATTTACGTATATAAAAACAAAAAGGAGTACTTTATATAATTAATGGATTTTGATCTGACATTATTTTCATTACTTTTTTTTTTTTTTTACTAATGTTCACCCAATACAAGGCCCAAGAGCCACTCAAGGGTTACTGTGTTGTGTTGTATGAGCATAAGAAAGGGCAAGAAGTTCTTTGGGCTGTGATGAGATGGATCTTTTTGTAGTTAATGTAAGTTACCCTGTGTTACACGTATTAATAGTTGATAGAAGATTCCTTTTCTCTTTTTTTATAATGAAAATAAAATGAATAAAAAACGTATAACAATAACATACAACAATAAGACTTTTGACACACGTGTTGAAATTAATGACAAGAATGTGTGTTTTTCTTTTCATGATGTTAAAAACAATATTGGTTTTGTATGTGTTAAATGTCTCTTTTTGTTTCTTTAAAATTTGGACTTATTTATAATTGTTCCAAGAATTTTGTGCTTGCAGGAAGCCTTTGAAACCGTCAACTCTGCATTTTCATGGAGCAAAGAAGATGTCTGTGTTTTTCTTTTTAATACTGCTACTCTTGCTGGAAAGTTTGTTTTTTTAATGATGAAATTTCAGATTTTTATTTTTAGAATGATGAAATATTATCATAATGAATTATCACTGGTCAAAAGGTTGTCTTAAGAATGATGAAATTTCAGATCTTTATTTTTAGAATGATGAAATATTATCATAATGAATCATAACAGGGCAATGCAGGAAAGATAATGGCTAACTCTAGAATTGAAGAGGTCAAGATTTAATTAGTGAATAATTTTTCAGAGTAAAGTCATAGACATTAGAAGTAAAGTGTTGAAATACACTTTAAAAGGAACCAGAAACCCAATCCTAAACAGGAAACAAGGGATAAATTACTACTCCTGTTCAAAAAACTGGGGAGGAGTGTGAACCTGATGATAGGCAAACATATCTATTCCTATTACTATAAAAATTGGGGTTAGCTTTTCACAGTGAAATTAATGCCTACTGACCTAGATATACAAAGTCTTATTACAGACTTATGCACCTGCCAAGAGGTACATTTTCTTTAATATGTCTAGGCCTGTAGGCATGAATTTCACTGTCTGAATTTCTGGGATGAGAAGTTATCATTATTTACAATATTTACATTTGGACTATTGTCCTTATTTTTGTTGTTGTTATCATAACATTTTGGCCATTTTGTCCTTTGGTCTTTATCAGGTGTATATCAATCTTGGTAACCTAAAAGAAAATCCAAACTGAAGCCTTTATTTAATTTACAGGTGAAATGAAAATAAAGGGTTCAGTTCAGAATTCTCTGTAGGTTACTCAATCAATATACACCTGATGAAGGCTGGAGGGTACAATGGCCAAAACATTTTGATAACAGCAACAAAGATGATGACAATGAATGTAAATAGTGTAAATAATGAATTTCATTGTTTTAAAAATGGGTATGTCCTACTCAAACACATGTAGCTACTAAAATAACATTTATAGTAATATATATACATATATATATATATATATATATATATGTATATTAGCTCTCAATAAAATGGTTTAATCGGTTGAGCACTGTGGGGAGTAAGGAACGAATTTGTAAACAGTCACTATTACTGTTGATAATGCAAGACTCTCCTAGCGACTGAGTTCTCTGAGTCACTGGTGAGTTTATGAAAAAATAAATATGCAAAAATTCACCTTTCTCTCTGCCGGGTATAAATAAATTAGGGGTTAGAATCTCCATCTGATACCAAATCGGTTGGGTTTCAGTCCTGGCCTGAAGTGATCGGATGTCTAGCCACACTGATAAGCTGTGATACAGTCTGTGGATGAGAGTTTACATATATATATATATATATATATATATATATATATATATATATATATATATATATTAAGAAATATAGTCTTAAGATGTGCTATATTTATGGGATAAAGTGCTCAATATCAGAGATAGAGTGTGTGTAAATATAAAAGTGAACATAGAAGTCAACACTTAGAGGTGACAGTCTGTTTCCTGCTAGATGCAATCGTCAGGCCATGATGATTGCATCCCTTGTACTCATGATAAATATGGCGACAAAGATGAGGACAATAGTCCGAATAATGTAACTAATGTACATAATACCTCATCTCAGAAATATAGACAGACGCCAATAATATAATTGGCAAGTAATTTGACATTGGCAAGAATTTGAACACTAGACATGTGAACAAAAATTAAATCTGTCACATTACTTCCGACACTCTTCTCTTGCCAATTTTTTTTTTTTCTCATTTTATATCAAAAAGTATTTTGCATAGGCTTGCTATTTTCTTTTCTTTCTTTTCCTAGACTCAACAGCTAATTTCTGTGAAGACCAGGATTTCATTGGTCCAAAAGCAATTTCATATAGGCTTGCAAATTTATTTCCATCTTTTTCTCAACTCACCTGCCAATCTTTGTGAAGTCAAGGTTTTCATTGGATCAAAGAAAATTTCACATAGGCTTGTGAATTTCTATCCATCTTTTTCCTCAGCTTGCCTGAATTTGAAGGGAATGGGTAAAGAGAGTTATTATTTCATAGTTACTATATATCTTCTTCCAGCAATGGATTAAATAGCCATGCCTTTGGTGGCAGCTAGTCTAGGAGAAGTTCAAACCTGAAGAGGCCTGTTGGGAAACTCTATGACACTCTGTACACAATTTTTCTATTATCAGTTCTTTCAAAAAACATTGACTGCTTCTACCCAAGTTTTCATCGTTATAATCAAAATCATATGTACATGTAGTTTAGTGGTTTACTTCTAAACTGAACTGTTCAACCCTCATACTTTGAAATCTATGGGAGTGTCCACTATATATATATATATATATATATATATATATATATATATATATATATATACACCCAAGAGTCACAAACTTATATCCATACAACTTAAAGAATAAATAAAGAATTAAAAATAGATTTGTGGGCATGTCTTGATTAACCAATTAAATCTCAGATCTACGCTAAATTATAAAGAAAGGTCAGAAGGTGGAGGTGGGTGAATCATTTTTTTATGTCATGATAAACTGGGACATAGACATGTCATCATTGACGATTGTGGAAAATCTATTTAGCGTAGATCTGACATTTAATTGGTTAATCAAGACATACCCACAAGTCGATTTTTAATTCTGACCTTGTTTCCCTGTCTTTAACTTTTGTATCTAATTTCCTTAACAATCATTTAATCATCAGTTACTTACCATCACCTGAAGAAGTACAATCATAGTATTGAAACATGAAAGCTTTTATGTAGCAATTTCAAAATGTTTTTATTATAATCTCTTATAATAAAAATATAATAATAATATATTGCTCTACTTTGTATTGAGCACTTTTTAAAAAGTAAATGCTGCAAACAATGGAATTTTACTCCATCTGTTCTTTCTCTCAATTATATATATATATATATATATATATATATATATATATATATATATATATATGTTTTGAAGGGACCACTTTAATATATTTCCAAAGAAGTCTTAGTAATTTACAGATAGTAAAGAAAAAGGAACATGTGGAGAGCCATGATCAAATATGTTCTGAAGGTACCACTATATTTTCCAAGAAGTCATGGCAATTTACAGATAATAAAGAAAAGGGATCTGTGGAGAGCCATGATCACCTATGTTCTGAAGAGACATGGTATTAAAAAAAAGAAAGAAACAGCCATAAGAAACTACTCCACTATCTTTCCTAAGAACAAATGGCAATTAATAGATAGGAAAAAACAACAATCTGTGGTGATTTTTGATCACTTACATCCTGAAGGGACATGGCATTAAAAAAATACATTAAGGTTACCCTTCAAAGTAAAAATCATTGGTAAGAATTGGTGTCACTTCTTACAGAGGTTTCATATTTAATTTTGGAGTGTCATCTATTTTCTTTTCAAGTTCAGATTTACTGTCCTTGTTATGGTGCGTTATTTGTTTTTTAACCGTTTCACTTCCAGTTTTGTACTCAGTGTCATCTCAGAAAGTCAAAGGATCTGAGTCTAGAACCTGGCCTTGAAGGATGAGTTCCTGCTATAGAGTGACAGCATTCTTATTTCATAAATCATTATAACACTAAGAGTTCTATTTTCTTAGTTAAACTAATTCCACTGACCATTTGCTCTATTGGTGTGGCCAGATAAGTCAGTAAATATTTATATATTCCAACATTCTTCAAAGTGAAGGATGAAAAAAGTTATGGTACTGTCTTTTGTTGTTAAAAATTAAAATGCTTGAATTATCTGATGGGAATCTGAAAAAATCTTGGCATGACCAACTTTCCAAAATCTGACCAAATAACCAAATAACAGAATCTATTTTGGAATCCCATCTTGGTTAATCCAAGATCTTTTCAGTACTTCCTTGCATATTAAATATCAAATACCCTA